GTTGTAAAACAAGCCAACTCACTTCGTGAACTCGGCAACCAGGTTACCGTGTTTTTTTTACCTCCGGTATTTGTTGGCGGTAACCATAATGGTGGTCGAGTAGATCATGTTGTGCGGGGTCGAGAACCCTCACTCCGCGCAAGGGGGATGATCGCACCACGTTGTGTTAAAATGGTCAAGCACCCTCGAGGCAGTTACACAGTGCTTACAACTGTCTCTGGAAGTGAAAGCACCAGAAAATAAATTAAGTCATACGCAGCTGTCATCCGTACGCAAGGAAGTAAGCACAAGATGCCGAACACCCTTAGCAGGATGCAGCGCACCCTTCATGCGACTCGCCGAATGCCTCACGGCGCTTCGCGCTTGGTGACGTGAGAGCCTGGTCCGGTGAGAACCCGGCGTGCTCCGTCCCGGCTTTGTAGGGATGCGAGGTCAATGGTCTAACGACTACGGCATGCACGACAATGAGTACACTCCCCCCCCCGGCTTCGCGCTTGGTCATGGGAGAGCCTGGTCCGGTGAGAACCCGGCGTTCCCCGTCCCGGCTTCGTAGGGATCCGAGGTCAATGGTCTAACGACTACGGCATGCACGACAATGCGTACACCCACCCTCCGGCCCTCAGCCCCCATTCTCAAAGTATATCAGAACAGTACCCTAAAACATAGCATCTTCAGACACGTCCCCACCTTCACCGAGGAGGCCTCTTCTTTCAGGGGATACTTGTTGAATATCCCCTCCATCTCCTCGCTAGCCCTTGCCGACGAGAAAGAGGCCGCATCGCATACCACCATGGTCGGACCCAGAGCCACCGGCCCGTGCTCCGTGGCCTGCCCATGTCAATCGGGTGCATGCATGAGGAACTGCCTCGATGCACACAACCGGACGTTGACTTTTGACATCGCACATATTGGGAAGCAACCTCCAGCAACCCAATCAGCGCGAAAAGTTGACACGCTCACAGAATCATTGCAATACAGCTATTTCCAAGCAGCGGGCAGTGGGCGATGCGTGGTGGCGTCCCACGGCCAGCGTGCCACATGCGGTCCAGTCAGGGGTGACGCCAACACGGGTTCAGCTCATCACGGGGGGTACAAAGGGGTGCAATGCAACTCGGGGTACTTCGATTCAGAAAAAAACATTTCAATTTGCGATTGTGTATTGCTGCACCCAATATCGAAGTCACACTTTTCCCGGCAGAGAAAGCGTCACCGTGTTTCTTCCTGTTGACCAACCAGCGCCTTTGGCTCCTCCAACGTATTTGTTGCAGGGTAACAATTACGGTGCAACTTTTCAAGATAAAACAGGCCCTGACGTGTTTTCTTGACGCTGCGGCCGTTGCTTGTCTGTCTGAACGATTTAGCAGGGTGTCCGCGTGATTTGTGGACGTGAGCTCCCTCCAGCTTACAGTACGCACCAAACAGAAAGAAATCAGTCAGAAGCCTTGCGGCGGGAAGGTTCACGACATTCGCAACAGCAAGGTCAAGACAGAACCGACATGTTCATCACCTTGCGCTTGCCAGAAGAAGCCCCATCCCCAGCCCCTGAGCTCGCACGCTTCCGCTTCGAAGAACCCTTCGGAGCGCCCGCGAACATATCTCCCGCTTGTTGAATCAGGGACGAGGCAAGGGATGGTCCGTTGACATCCTCGGGGGAGAAATCCAGCACGGTGGCATGGTTGGCCACGAGGCCTTTCGCGAGGATTTGGCGCCTCGCTTGGCTCATCCCTTGCGAGCAAAGCGAAGGGTCACAGAACGGTGGCGCAAGTGGAAATGGCATGGCGACGGTGTGGAATGAGAAGAGGGCAAGTAGTTGAGCCTGGAGGCGCGCCGATAGACTCGAGATCGTCATCGAGAGCGTGTTCTTTTCATTTTCTCTGGTGGCGGTGTGATGGGGGTACTTTTTTCGCAATGGGAAATCAATGCGTACGAGGCCAGCAGTGAAGGCGAAATGGGACGACGTCTGGGTCAACAGGACTGTTCGGACGTGTGCAAATGTGAGGCACGCTGTAGCACTCGTGTCGTTGATGTTCTTGTTGATACTGCAGCGTCGACGTCTTCACGTGAAAACCCGTTCCGACAATCTCTGCTCAGAACCGTCCAACATGCGTACCGAGCCAACTGACGAGGTCGCCTACAGTGGTCACAACCCAACTTTCCTCAATAGGGAATATCTACGCCACGAAGCACACAAGACAACTAATGAAGCCTAGGAAAGTCAACACGAACGTGAAATCAGAAATACAAGGCTCAGCCGCAGGCGGCACGCTGGAAAACGAGCAACATAGATCAACGCAGAGCAAATCGCGAACACTCTACGCGCCAGGCAAATCAAAGGGTATGCAACAGCAACTCAAATATCACCAATCAAGGCAACAAGTTGGATGCTATCCCTATTCTTGTTCCCTTGCTATAATAGGCAGGGCTGTACTTACCATTACACACACATACCTACAGATGTGGAGGGGGATCAACGGTAAGATCAAGGCATCCGGTGATAACTGTATGTTCCGTTCCAAGACACAAACCAAGGCACCGTGTGGATTTTTCCACGCATGATTCTCGAGGGAATCCGTCCCCTTCATCTAACGAAAAATACCAAACGGTCCCGAGTCAAGCCGGGAAACCATCAAGCATGGCTCTGCTGCAGTTCGGCGTTTTTCTCGGCCATGTAAGCTGCGCGAGCTGGAATCGTTCGCAGCAGCTGGGTTCTCGCAACCGACTACCCAAAGTCATCCACACGGGCCTCGGGGAGCATGAAAAGCGCGGGTAACACAGTAAACTGGCCTCCTCACAAAGATAAGCTTCCTCAGCAATGCGGAAACCTCTTGTACCACAATGCCTAGCGCTGGTTGTACAGTTGTCATCGCTGACAGCTAGCCAATCACCACTGCTAAGCGAAACTCGTCCAGTTGGGCGTCAACCGCCTCTGCACACTTTCACCAACACAGCTGGGAGTCCGATCTCTTACAAGACGGTATCCTATGCGTGGGCCGGCAGTACACAACCGCGGGAGGGGCAGCGAAAGTAGAGCTAGTCGAACGCGAAGCAGCGGCAGCAGAAGAACCAATGGTGATGGCCGCTGGAACCAGGGCAGCCTTAAGAGGGCCGCTTCCCCTACAGGTCCACCCTGCAAACATCCCCCCTGCGCGATGACGCGTGCGACAGCACATGGTCGGCTCTAGGCTAGTGCTACTCCCCTACGATTCCCAATGTTTCACGCCTGATGTATTTTTTTCGTAGCGCTTGCTTTCGTCCTAGTTTTGATCGATTCTTGATGCTATCATGAGGCAGGGGTTGTCGATTGATTTGCACTACAGGATCGGTTGGCAGCTACGCACAGCAGCGCAGGGCCACGAACCAGCAAATACTGTCCTAGCACAAAAGACACAAGCTCTTCCCAAACACTATTAAGACGGCAATGTGGGACTTAAGAAAGGCAGCTCAGTGCTGGGTCCTACACAGTAAATCCTGCATGGCGCTAAAAATAGTCTATTCTCGACGGTGGGGACGAAACACGAACCCAGGGCTTGGCCCGGAATTGGTCGTCCGTAAGCGTAGGCTCAATACTGTAGCATCGACCTGTAGACTACTGTTGCACACTACCAGTAGACCATAGCAGACAGGTGTGAAGACGACATTTGAAACTGCTGTACACTCCCTTGGTTGCATCTTATTCGAAGTTGGAGTTTCCCTATTCACTTTGGGGAGCTACTGCAAGTGGAAGTGACCGGATGTGCCCCGCTATTGGCAACGCAGAATGAAGTTACATAGCTAAATGAAAGGGAATCTTCCGACTTGCCGTTGAGTGCGTCATGATAACGTAGAATACAATGTACGTATGGAAATGAACACATCGAGCCAAGAACAAGATGGACCTCCACAGGGGAAGGAACCATGCTCATCTGCTCACCGAACTAAAGCGTACGCGCACGGTGTAGCCTAGAGTTGATGCTGTTGTACGCACGGACAACATGACAAGAAACTGCCTCACAAGAACAATCTGTTCGAAAGCAAGAGTACTGCTGTACCAGTGTAGTCCGTCTCCGCTCAGGTTGCTGGAGGAGAACGAGGCGAAGGGGATAACACGATAGATAACGCTGCTGTTGCTGCTTTAGACATTGGGCCGGCACGATTAGAGATGAGATCTCAGCTGTTGTCGAGTGACCTGTACCGTGGCAATTGCTCTTCGCCATGGATACATTGGCCAAGTGGTGGTCCTCGTAATAAGACAGTAGTCCAGTGTCATACAGCAGCAGTAAAGTAGAAGTACAGCAGAGCAATGCTACGGTAGGGGGGACACTTTTTAAGGCATGGGTCACATGCTGCCGCCCGACAAGGTCCATATAAATGCTCGTAACTCTCTCAATTTTTGCATTTCAAGGAAATCAATTCTACCCAGGCAGCCGCCTGGCGTATATCTCGCGGTGTGCAAAACAATAAGCATTTTTTCCACTGGTTGAGGCAGTACACACCAGTCCGCCAAAACACTCCATGTGACCGAGGGGGTACCCCCTATCGCAGCATCCCTCAGCAGTAGGAGAAGCAGCCTTCACAGGGTTTCTCGTAGTTTGTAAACATGTTGGATAAAGCATACAATTGGGGAAGCTGGGTTACAGTTAGTTGCGGCGGAATGTGGCTCACTTTCGCTACAGTCTTCAGAGTCGATTTGGCGTGTTTTCGACCGTAGGAGACTCCTTACTGTAGTTTCTGTTCCTGTTCACGGCACGAGCGCTGGGGCGCAGACGATACAGCTGTCCGCTGGCAACCATGAACTAGATTCCCTGCACTTCGTCATTGCCTGGCACAATGATGATGAGAGTTTAATGATAATGACGACTCCGCCCTGTACTGCTGTAGTGTATCAGGTCTGCAACTCGTGGTGCGGGGGGTTGTAATGTACCAAGTATTGAATGGTCTGTGCGTGATGCTACAGCAGTAGTCAACAGGGGCGTTTCTCAAGCAAACTAGCTACGTACATGGTTTTGCGAAGATATGGTCGATGTGTGGTGCGAAGTACTGTAGTGCAAAGTACTACTATAGTGCGAAGCCAAGAGGTATCAGGCTGCTGTGTTCAGGTCCTCTGTAGCTCTGTAGAAAGGGACCCAAATTGCACCGCCTCTTACGATGCGCAGAACAAAATTTGAATTTCTGTACAGCGCGAGGCCATGTAGCACATGCTGCGCGCTTCCCCGCCCGCCAAAATCAACCGTGACTCACCTACTCGGCATATAACTGCTACCTCTCTGGAGAACATGGTGTGCCGCTGCCCTCCGAATGCTTGCTGAGATGCGAAGAGGTGTGCCACTGTGCTGAGCTGAAGGGCCTGCCGCCCTGCCGCCCTGCCGCATAGTCTACCGCTGCGACGGCAGAAAGTATAGTTAGGGTATGAGGCACTGCACTTGCACTGATCGACGGAGCCTCCAGGGATCACCGCCTCGTATGACATTCACGCCACTTGCTTGCGGCAGTCACACTGGAACTCTATCTCTGTGCTTGGTATCGTCCTGTTTCAGTTCTTTGCACACGTTTGTGACGCGTCGCCCAGGTGGTCTTTTTGTGTGTAGTGAACCACCGCCGGTGGGAGATGTTCCCAATAATCAGGTTCGTTACCGATGGCAATACGGGAGAACGAACGTGTGGCACGATCCAAAAAAAAATCATCCGCTTTCTTCATCCACCCGCGGTCCAAGGCGATCTTTCAATATTCATACCAACAACTTGGTATCCACTTCACCGCAGGCCTACGTATGCACGTAGGTACGCGTGTGGTCACTTGACCAGCGAGCGTGTGCTCTGAAAAATGCCGGTGTGTGTGGTGGCGATCTCAAAACAACATGCATCCACTAAGTACCGGCACAAGACGGGTGGACGGATTCGGACCCGACGGCTAAATTTTCATCCCGGACCCAACCCGATCTTTCATTCTACTGCCGACCTGGCGCAGGCGGAGACACCAACGCATGTGTCGCACAACGGGTCCATTTGGCCAGTGCGACTATGGCGAAACGCTCTCGTTGTGCTATTAGCCTAACAGACATGCGCTGGTGCGCCCGCCCGTACCATGGTCGGCCGTAAAATGTACACGTACATACAGGACTTGAAAGATCAGTTTGTGTCTCGGATCAACATTTACCGGTCGACTCGTGGCTTCGAATGATTCCGCGAAATGGCTGGAATGCGAGGGTTTGATGATATATATATATATGTATTTCCCTGCTGGCGGGCTGTATATCTATACAGCAGCAGAACGAGGATAGTCAGTATTCTACTCTTGTTGGAGACTGTCTCAGTTTATATGAGACCTGAACGTAAGTCACCACAAAAATGCTCTGTGAAACTACACCTGGGCCGTGTCTCGCTGAAAACAACTGCTGCCGTGTCTGGAAGACAGCAATGGATGTGTATTTTCCGGATGAATTCCTGCACTTTCCGTGAAGGGAGTATTATGGGGATTGTGTGTGTACCCCAGCAAGTAGCAGCATAAGCTGACGCCCACCATGCTAGTCGGTGTGATAGCTTGTGGAGCTTGTAGCAGCAGAAGCACAGCAGTACTGCAATGCAGAGGAAGATGGAGAGATGTTGTTAACACGGCGCTTATGTGGCCAACACAGACAGATACACCCGACAGACGGTTGTAGTCCAGGCAGTATGCCAGCAGCATCCAAGGTACGACAAGGACAGCTAAAAGTACCCAGACAGTCCGATAGATCACAGAGAGAGACCCCAAAGGGTGAGGTGCACCGAACGACAGAACGTAGCTCTCAGTTCCTCCGCATACGTTACGTTCCAACCGATACATAGATAACACATACGCCATTCGTCTAGATAAGCAGTAGTACTGAACATTGGCCAAGACAGGAGATGCGTATGCATTTCCGTAACAGGGGGTTGTAAAGCAAACATCAAAAATGCAATGCACTCCCGGGTGTATCCGTTGCGCGGAAAATGCCCTGATCTATGTATCCCCGCACCGGTCCACAGCAGCAGCGGGTGCTTCGCGCTAATGAACCTCCGCGCTTGTGCAACCGACGCAGAACGACCGAACGGCGATGTTTGTTGTGCCTCATGCCGAAAAGCGTTTATTGTTGCGCTGAGTCAACAAGAGGCACCCGAATTTCTTGTTGCACCCCACACAGCCATGGTCGACGAGTTCAAAATCACGCCAAAAAGCAACCATGCGCAGTATCTCCCCCCCCCTTTTGACGTCGGAAATTCACCCCTCTCTCCTCTGTCATCTGCAGCTTTTCTGGTTCGACTGCCAGCGGGCACGTATGACGCGCCAAAACCAGGCATTCGACTTTGAAAATCGCGCCCACCGACAGTTTCCACAGCCGTGTCGGTACGCTTACTCTTTCACCGACAGAAGGAAGAAAAGAAGATCCGCGCCGAAAGCAGTCTTGGAGTGACAGCCTACCATACATGCCGGTTTGTTCTACGGCACCGCGTGCAGCCTCCAAGTCTACTCAGCCGGCAGCTGTGTCTCCTTCCAGCCCGAGCGGTATAATTTCCCTTAGAGGGATGCCGCGGAGAGTGACATTCTTCGACGTCTCGTTCCGCACGAGTGGTTCCAAGAAGCACCCGACGCTGTCACGTATTTTTTCTCTACCACAACTTATCCAAGAGAAACACGCCCGACACCTGTTCGATACACTTTCATTAAACAGCGCGGTACATAATGCCAAAACCTCCCACTATGTGTACGCCATGTGTACTATGCCGCGCCTTCCATGATCTTCCGCGCCTCCTCGGCTGCTCGCTCTTTCATTCCTCCCTGCATTCTCATGATCTGAGGAAAACAATCCCGCAATCGTGAACGGTCAGAGGGAAGGAGGCAAGGGTAACAGCGTGAACGGAATCACAACAGCAGGCTTCTCTGGACCATCATGGCTACAGTAGCCTACGCAGAAGAGTGGTGCGTAAACTCAGATCGAGTCGAATTAATCGGGCAAAAAGCTGTCTGCTTCCGGAATAATCGCATCCAACACTTCATGTCTGTGTGCAGGTGCAACGATCACGATACTTGCTTGGATTCCAAACTGATATTCTTTACGAGCGTTCAACGTGAGGAAACCAAATAAAACTCGTTGTGAGTGTAGGGATGGGCGGACGCGGTCAATCGACGAAACCTGCCTGACTCTTGCTCGGGCTGTGCCAACGTGCAAATTCCCGAGTGACGCTTCAACACCCACAATGGTACAAGCCGTGCCCTGGCAGTTGGTAGCGAAGTAAAGATCAACAGAGACTACAGGAGGGGCATACCTCATCCCCTATTGCGGCCTCCTCTCTCTGCTTCTCCTCAAACGCCTTGGACACCTTTGCCCTGCGATATGGGAGCGTGGTGCGGTAAGCGCGACAGAGAGCTCGTTTTGGCGGAGCAATGGAGCATTTTTCGTTCACCGTCATCATACAATCTATGCCATCCCATATGCCAAATGTAAGGAAGAACAAGCTTACATGTAGATGTCCAGATATCATTGATATCCAACACGACAAGTATTGTAGCCGACCACGTCAAAAGGGTAAGAAGCACACGAACAGCTCGAAAACATATCAAAGGGTAAGCTAGGCAGAGAACAGGCTGATGAGTAGACGGCGAAACAAATCGCCCAAAGAGCGGAAAGGCAGGAGGTCGAAACGAGCCTGTTCACCAGTTGCAAGAAGCATCTTGTGACCACCGAACAAGATCGAAGGCAAACACAACACAGAGTGAATTGAAATGACAAGAGTGAATCTAAGCGGCGTAAATGCGAACACCATTCTTGCACCGTGGACACCCAAAGCAGAAGCTCCATTTCGGATTGATTTGTACCAACACTGCAAACATGGCACCCAATACATCCAACCAAAGGAACAACAACATTGCAAACGTCAAATTAGATCAACTATCCACGTGGTGCAAGATCACAGCACGACAAAGATTGATCTGAATAACACAAGCAAGCACAAACGGTAAGCGTGGCGCACATTTCTCGCTCGATAAGCTCCAGTCGCTTAGCCACGTTTTGCTTGGCCTCTTCAAGGTCTTGCTTAATCAGCACCTGTATTGTATCGTTTCATAACGTATTGTCGGGTGCAATGAGTGAAGTGAACATGGTTCATATCATGTCCGCAACCACATACCAGGTAGTATGTACTGTCGAGCAATATTTCACACGGCTCTCCTGTTGATCGTGCTGTCCAATCAAAATAGCAGCTTGAACGCAAGCGGTACAAATGCAGCGCCACAACAGGCGTATACTAAGATGAGCAGCGAGCTTCAACGAGCGTCGAGCTTCGCCAGCACCAGCATGGGGTGTATCATGCCGACCGAAACGAGAAGGTTCTGCTTCACCCATCAACTGCATCATGGTATCGACCACATCGAATAACATCCAAACTCGGGCATCGACTTCGTCGCATGAAAGCCAGAACTACGTGCTCGCGTCCACGCGCTCGAGGTCTGCAGCAAAACGAGATCGAGACCGAGATTTTGCAAGAAGCTTCAAGCAAACCCAAATCGCTGGTCACCTGTACTTCTCAATTTCTGGTATGCCCAGACTAGCCCTTGTTGTTCGTCCCTCGCTTCCAATCTATGACGTACTGTTCTTAGTCGGAGCAGTCGTGAGTCATGCAAAGAAATCCGACACAAATTGGCGGTATCCCGGCTACCCCCTGATGCCCAACACCCGAAAAATGGCAAGCACTCGGCCCCGCAAGCGGGGGCTGGGTGCACACCCGGTACAACATCATACATTTCCACAGTTTCGTGGCACGTGTCAGAGCAACAAGAGCCTTCACACTCACACTCTGATTGCACATGTTTCTGGAACAGATTAATCGACAGAGCCCAAACACCGCCTCGGCTTTGGGAGTAGCACAATTGAGGGGCATCTTCAAGCGTTGGACTACGTGCAAGAAACCTTGCGCTTCCCTCGTGATACCGCAATGTGCGCCCTACACTGCGTCCGATATTACAATATTCAGGAGAGGCAATGCCCTAACTTGCAACGATGTCCCCGCATAGGTCAAGCACGTGCACGAGCTGATTGACTGCTGTTTTAACGACGGACGCTGCCACCAAGCAATGCCTCGATTAATACAAGTACCGATGTGCCTGTGTCTACGCAAGCAATGCTCATACGTACCGGCCCAACCAGCTTGAACACGGGAGCCCCATCTTCCAGCAGGTCCAATTCCTAGAGCAGCGTAACGCAGGGCGTGGGAGGAGAGGAGATGCTTCACTGTCGAGTACGGCTAATAACAGTTTTCAAAGTAAAAGAGCGGGACTAGACGTTACGTGCCATACCACAGTACAAGAGGGGAGACGATTCTGCTCGGCTCTTTGACCTATCCATACCGGACTCACCTGCTTCACCATGCCGTTTTCATTCGCTTGCTGGTAGAACTGGCTGCGGGACGCCGCCAAAGCTTGAAGCTCTTGTGGGGAAGCCGAAGCAGAGGGGGGGGGCGAGGGGGGGAGTTCGAAACCCGGCAGGATGAGAACCGAAGGGAAAAACATTGTACGACGTAGACTATTGCGTACAATCTGCAAGGATGGCACCAACACCACTCAGTAGTGAGATGGGCACTGTTACAGCAGCATACAGCAAGAGGGCAAGCTGCACGCTTCCGATCCTTCTTGGGTGATTCTCGTTTTCGTGAACCCGCCTGCAGTATCTATAGATGGACGGGTACAACCCTCGCAGGATTCGACCAAGATCCGGTCGTGATGGGCGTATCTTCCGGCGGGATGTGCTGTACCTGCCTGTACTGATGCACGGCTGTAGGTAGGGATGTGGAGATACAACTACCAAGCGAGAGGGTGGCTACTTGTCTCTTGGACACGTGTGGTGCAAGCACTAATGCAGGTCGGTAAACGATGTTGCTGCGAGTCGGCAGTCGTCCTCTTGCGCACCTCACAGTGGGCGCCAGCAACTCGTGAGCGCGGTCAACAATCACTGCTGTTCGCCACTGGAGCAACCACCATCTACGAGCTACAGGATATGCGCGCGTACTTTCGGCACGCACAGGCAGAGTTTGCTCTCTTGATCACAAGCACCGTACATGGCCCGGTTCTCACCGCTTTGTACCCCCTGCAGCTTCTTCAACTCAGCATCCACCTCCGGGCTCCTTCCAGGCTGGGCCATCTCTCAGCGCTCCTAGTTTCTTCTTCTGTGCTGCTGCTGTGCTACAGGCTTGCCCGCAGCTGCAGCTGCTCTTGTCAACCCTACTGCTGTGCCTGTTGGGTGATCCTGAAGGTTGCCTTACCCTCTTCCTTTCCCGGTCTCGAGACTATGCCAACGAACACCAACTTCGAAACACCTTTTCGGTGGAGGTATGGTTTGTGTGCTGTGTCGCGTGTGCGCCCTGCGGTGGGTATGGAGTTGGTGCACAGCAGTTGGTGTGCCGATCGGATGATTGGATGATTGGATCAGTCAACGCGGCGGGATTGCTTGTGCCAGGGGCCCTCGCACGCTACCCTCATTTTTGTGCAGGTTGCGGGTGCCCCCATCACACGCTAGCAGCGCGCTTCGCGTTGCCTCACCGCAGGAAGGAACAGAGGTGCTAACTAGCAAGGAGCCAGACGTTTGGGAAGGTTAGAGGGTGAGTGAATCATTGCTGTACAGGAGTATCAAGAACTGGAGTCTGTGGAGACTAGCAACGAACACATCTTGTGTTCCAGATCATCGTTGGCGTCGATTTTTGAATTGGGGTGCCAGGCTGCTGCCCCCACTAAACGAGCGCGTTGCGAGTTTCGAGAGGCCCGCTGCCAACAGTACTACTGTAGGGCGTTGATGACACACCTTGTTCTGGCGGCAAATGCAGTAGAACCTTGAGTTCGCGAAACTACGCAAAAGCTTGTTTTCCGGCAGCAGCAAAAGCTACTATTACACTGGTGTGCTGCGTGCCCTGACACGCTGTGAGTTCAGAAGTAGCGACGCACAGACAGCAGAAGTAGCGAGCGGTCTGGTGCTGCAGCTGCAACTGGGTGTTGGTATGGATAGATTCCTCCCATCTACCGGCGGTACATCTGATGCCGCCGAAAAAAGAGTCGTGCACAACCTCGTCCCTCACCGAGGGCGAGATTGTCTATCGCTTGGAGGACGTTCGATCCTACAGATATCGCCCGCAGTAGAGAAACGTCAAAATCGGTTCGAGCCTCACCAATCCCTTCGTTTGGGTCGAATTACCCGAATTACCGGCCCCAGTCCGCCATTTCGTAAATGTCATTTCTTCTTCCTTTGGACTGTCGCATCCTCCCGATTCTCTCATATCTTAAGACTACACGTGTTTTATTTTTTCTGTCTTGTGATCGCTGAGGACAATCCACATCATCAAGCCCTCAAGGGAGGTGGCGGAGAGTGCCATCAAACCCGTACAACAGCGGAGAGCATATGGTTGTCCGCGATGTGTGGCAGTAC